AAGGCTGATAAGTAATACTTTTACATCATAGTTTTTTTGTTTGTTTGTTTTTTAAGATATAAAATGTCCTTAGAGCACTGATATGTACATATGAAAAACTCATATGGAAAATTTTTACATAGTTATGTTTCACATTCCATGCTTTGAGTGTGTTGTTCCTGTAGACTTGAAAGAATAATGGTGTCCATCTGTGTCTTGGTAAATCCTCTAGATTAATGGCAATTCATAGATGAGTGCAGGAGAATTGCAGTATGTGTTTTGCACTGCAGTAGTACATGCACAGCGAAGACCATCTGAAGGGTTCTTTTCATAGATCTTCTGTTCCTTTCATGCATAGTCATTGTAAAATGGAGTTGGACAGACACCTGCTGACAAGCAGTCAAGCTTGAGCTTTCAAGACCTGACGTACACACAACAGGTCACAAAAGTAATGCAACTCCTAGTGCAACTTAGAACATAGCCTTTCTTCTTTTACCTTTTTGTACCTGACAAGAATATATTATTTCATTCTGTAGTTTAACATGGCCTCAGTGTATTTTGTACAGTGATTGAAAGGTTTGTGAAGGAGTACGACCATGTCATGTTTTTTCTAAACCTTCCTCATACAATGTAAGTTTTACCTCAGCAAGATAATTTAGATTTTTCTTCTTTAATTTATCTGTATGCTCTACCCATTTCTGGCAAGGCTGTAGACAAATATTGTTCAGTTCTCCGGAGTTCTGCTTCTCACAACACCTGTTTCGCATAGTCTCAAATCTCCTAATGAGCCTCTTCTGAGAGACGGCACTATGATGTCTTCAAAGAGTTTCTACGCTTTTCCTTTGCTTCTATTTTTTCTTTCCTTTTTGAGGGGTAAGATTAGAGAGTGTAGCAACAGCTGGGAGGGGAACTAGAAACCAAGTAAATTCTTAATCAGCTCAAGCTAATTGCATTTAACACTGAAAAATACTTACATTTTGCTTGCAGCAGAAGGCATCGTTTTCTCCTGTTACTGTTCTGTAGAGAACATGGGTGGAAATATGTGTTCCTTCTTCTGTTTTCTAACTGTTTCCGTCAGAAAACTAATTGTTTGTGGGTTCACAGTGAAGCAGCCCTTCTGTAGTTATTTCTGAAAGAGGAATAGAGACTTTAGTGTTGTGTTGACTGATTGAGACAGCTTCTCAACAGAGAGAGACAGCAGATTTTCCTCCATTATTCATTGACTCAGCATATGGTGGGGATACTTCAAGTCCCTTTCATTCTGACATGCCTCCCATCCACCAAACCACTTGGTTCAACATTCACCACGGGAGCACACTTAAAAACATGTTACACACAACACTTGGAACTAGGTCAACTAGGTCATTTTACCACTCTCATATACATTTATTTAATTTCATTATGATATTGTCAAAGTCCCCTGCATTTTGTACCTAAGAGGATGTTGTAAAGCAGTAAAAATGTTTGACTGCTTGTCCTTTACCTCTATGGCTCTTGGGAAATGTGTTTAGCATGAACACTAATGAAGCAGGTAATGTGTGCAAAAGAACGTCTTTGAGACATTTGTCCCTAACTCACTAACCACATTGTGAGATAACCTTGGATAGCCTATTATTGTAACCGATCAAATTAGATCTAGTTTAACTTAAAATGTGCTGTATAGTTCCTTTTTTAATACATTTTCTACACATTAATAAAATATTCCAAATAAAAAAATCTAATTTGAATGTGAAGTGATTTTTTTAAGCACCATTGCAAGTTATGTCGCTGAATAAAATCCTGATGAACAGATTTGTTAACATAAACCCTAATATTAACAGGGGTTTATACGACAGTTATCAGCCCCTTAAGTTGTATCCTTCTGCACTTGGACATTCAACTGTATCGTTCTGCTTGTCTGTGTTTGGGCTCTAGACAAACTGTTTTAGTCTGTGCATTTCTGCTGGGGATATTTCAGGATTTTCACTTTCTGCAAATTACATCGATATACCAGTGGGTAACGACAAGTTTACGAGTGAGTCATTAAATCATTCACTCAAGCAATTCATCTAAAACACTCATTCACACTCATTCACACTGATTCATTCGTGAACAACTGTGCTGCTCGCAGACCCCTAACAGCCTACTTTGAATTCGTTTGGAACTATTAAAGTGACTGGCAATATAACATCTAAAATGTAAGTTAGTCAGTATTAACTTATTGTTTATTGGACTGTAGTGAAGATTAAACAAAGTTTTTCAAAGCACAGAGGCTTACCTTTACCTTTCAGTGGCAGTGGTTCCCAAACTAGGGGGTGCGGCAAGGCTGAGGGATAATGTAGGCTGCAGTCAGCAGATTATTTTGAAAAAGAAACCTCTGCAGGGTGATAAAGACTACACTACACAATTTTCACCCTTACCATGCGGACACTTGCCTGATAAGTAAATAATTGAATGCAAAATAATAATTTGACATTTTAATTCCCTCAATATGACTCGATCGCTACTTTATCAGTTGTAGCAGTTGTGGTTGTATCAATAACAGACCACTAGACTGCACAATTGAAGAATGAGTTGTATTGCAGGGAGTCATGTAGAAATATAAATGAATGAGGTTCTGCTCTAAGCTAAGTTACAAGTTTGTGAAAATACTGCCAGTGCCAGGTAAACGTAAAGCAGATTATGAATATACTTAAGATTCACAAATAAGAGTGGTGTGATGTGACAAAAAGCAAATAGAACCCAGTGAAGTTCTCTG